CTTCTCTTATAAAAAAAAAAAAAACCACACATCCATCTTAACATACGCATCTCAGCCACATGCAATCTCCTTTCATCCGCAACTTCGGTGGCCCAAATGAAATGAAATATTTTTTCTTACTTCCCCTTTATTGATAAATCTTTAGGAATACACATCGATCACAAAGTTCAACGACTCTGATAGCTATTCGCTGTAACATTCATCTTACAATATGTTACATTGAATTGGAAAACAAATACCAACTTTAGTAAAACTTTCCTTGCAAAATTGTACACAGACTTCACGGTTCTGTTTACGAGGTGATTTATGTTTCTGTTTCTCTGTCTCTATGTCAATCTCTAATGTACAATCACGGACATCTGTAGTATTTCATTTATTTTTGTACACACATAAGTCTAAGGCGCTGGGTAATAAGCAACTGATTTTCGCAATATTCAATGAGAGCCTACACTCAACGGTAGACATCTAAATGGACTGGACAAACGACACGAGGATAAAAAATATAAATGCGAAAATATTTCCGGAACGACTGTGATGACTTGGATTGTATTCGGTATAGATGTACACCTGAAAGAACATGTGACCTACCCACATAACATCTATTTTTTTAATTCTACGCGGGAAAAAGCTAGTTATATTATCATACTATTATTAAGATAAAGTTTAGATGGGTGGATGGATGTTTGTTTTTTAACCTAAACGGCTGAATGGATTTCGGTGAAATTTGGCATTGACGTATACTCTGCAAGAAGACACGGACAGAGTCGCGGGAGAAATCTAGTAATTGATAAAACTAGTAACAATGGGTAATGAAAACTAGTACCATTGATAATTCTTCTTTTTTTATTGATAAAGCCACAAACTATTTACATAAATTGATGAAAATGTATTTGTTTTTTTATACAAATAAAAAATGTTATGTCGCTAACGTCACATTTTTTTCTCTCTATTCAATTTTTTTTTCTTTTTAAGTACAATGTTTTTTCTAATGCTTTCTTGACGGCCAGCATGGTATTAATCATTGCTTAACCACAGACAGCTTAATGACATTTTTATAACTGAGAGCAAATCTCAATATCGATGTAACAAATCTACGAGTACCACTTGCAGTAAGAAAATATTTAGGATGTGACATTTGTATCTCTTTTATCAGAACATTTACAGTTGTGATATTTAGTATAGATTAGATTGTTATTATCGCTCTTATGTCAATGCAATAAAGTTCACAACAGATTTGATTCTTATCTAACATGATATGAGAATAATATTTTGTTAACGATTGACAGAAATCAGTTTGTGCACTCGCGTTGATCGGAGCACTAGTTTGATATTCAGTTATTTTTAATTCGCACACATAACATATATTTGATGTACAGGAATACATTTTAAAAGTTGTTTGTTTTTTTTTTGGATATGGTTCAAGTTAGAGTTAAAGAAGGATTACTGGAAGGGGAGCTGACTGAAGATGAGATAGGAGGAAAATTCTACAGTTTTAGAGGGATCCCGTATGCTGAACCCCCATTAGGCGATTTGCGGTTTAAGGTAATATTATTTAATAAATGATATTATATAATATTAGTACTAACCGGCTAAATTATTTACAACTAGTTTTTGCCCGCGACTTCGTCCGCGTGGAATTAAACAAAAACAAAAGTAAGTAGCTTATGTGTTCTTCCAGACTATCCTCTACATCTGTACCAAATTTCATTGAAATCGGTTGAACCGTTTAGGCTACAAACTCTAACAAACATCTATCTATCCATCCATCCATCTATCTATACTTTGCATTTATAATATTAGTAAGGTCGTTTTTGTTCAATTTTATTGATAAACATTAAGATTTAAAATTTAAAGTAACTTAATTTTTTTAGCCTCCTCAACCAAAAAAAGCTTGGGATGGCGTGAGAGATGCCAAAGAGTTTGGTTCTGTTTACTACCAAATAAATTTTCACGAACTAGACGCTGGGCCATCTGGTTCTGAAGACTGTTTGTTTTTAAATGTTTACACCCCGGACATTAAGCCAGAGCGTGCCTTACCAGTCATGTTTTATATCCACGGTGGCGGCTTGGTGGGAGGAAGTGGGAACGACGACATGTACGGACCAGAATTCTTGATAAGACATGGCATAGTTTTTGTTACATTTAATTACAGATTGTCAGCTCTAGGCTTCCTATGTCTAGATACTGAAGATATTCCAGGCAATGCTGGTATGAAAGACCAAGTAGCAGCACTCAGATGGGTTAAGGAGAATATTTCTAGCTTTGGTGGAGATCCCGAAAACATTACAATTTTTGGACACAGCGCTGGTGGTCTTAGTGTTAGTTATCATTTAATATCACCGATGACGAAAGGTTTGTTTAAACGAGCTATAGTTAAAAGTGGATCGTTTACATGTCCTTGGGGTCAAACGTTTGAACCACGGGAGAGAGGACTCGCATTAGCAAGAAAATTGGGATGTTATTCTGAAGACGATAAAGAGCTTTACGAATTCTTCAAACGCCAACCAATCGAAAAACTCAACGGTATGCAATTACCTATAACATTTTCTGAAAAAGGAAATAAAGCCTATGATATAATTTTTGGTGTAGTAGATGAAAAGGATTTTGGCAACAATGAGAGATTTATATTTGGAGATGTTATTGAAAAACTACGCAATGGTATACACGAGGGCGTTGAACTCGTAATGGGGTATACTGAAGATGAAGGTCTCATTTATATGCGGAATGCTATATCGATGGAGGAAATGTGCGAATATTCGAATGAATTTCTCCAATTCTTCGTACCGAAATCAATAGCTCATAATTGTACGTTGACGCAACAGTTCGAAGTAGGAAGGAAAGTAAAACAATTCTATTTTAAAGATGAAGTCGTAACAATGGATAATTTAAAAGAGCTTGTCAATTATTTCTCTTTAACAATGTTTACGTATCCTATGTTCCAATTAGCAAGAAGTTGTTCATTGAAAAATAAGGTTTATTTCTACAAATTTACTGGAAAAAGTGAGAGAAATTTTATGGTTCGCATACTACATTTGGAGGACTTTGTCGGGGAAAAAATACCGGTTTGTCATGCTGATGAAATAAATTACATTTTCCCTATGAAGAAAGTTAACCTTAAAATAAACAAAAACGCTAAAAGCTTTAAAATTATCGACCATTTTACAAAACTCTTGACGAACTTCGCTAAATATGGGTAAGAACTATGTTAAATATTATATGTTTTAATTTATACCACTTAAAGCGTGCACCTTTCTCTAGACTATCGCACAACTGTTTAGGCTTGCTTTGATTCCAATGAGTTTGTATGAAGGTGCGCACGCAATCAATTTTTAGTTGTGCAACTAAACAATTGAATTAGCAACGAAGCAGTCGACAATCGCACAACAGTTGGGGAACAATCAAAGGTTTGCGCCCGCTCTTACAACTACTGTATTGTACTCGTATATTGTGTACATTATGATAAGTTTTCACTGCTATAACGCCTGCCTCTAATTCCTAAAAAACAGAGTGACAAAGTATGTCAAATTATCTGTAAGTTAACAATTGAAAGTCATGGTTACACGAATATTTAAGTACTTTTACGTGGATGCGATAAATCTATTGGATATCAAGTGGGCGTGGATGTTTTATATGGTGTTAATTTTTTTTTTATTTCAAGAATTTATTTATTGCCTTAAAAAGAATTACAAAATTCACTTACTTATAGAATTGATTTATCTTACCTTTGTATTATGTATGCAAGCGTAAACTTCAATTAAAAACAGTATTTTCTTTTCCAGAAATCCAACACAGGAAGGAAATTTTTTATTAAAGTGGACTCCGTATAATATAAATGAACAAGCTTACCTTGAAATCAACGAGAATTTAACAACAGGATTCAAGCCTGATAAAATCGAAATCGATTTTTGGGAAAACATCTTTAAAGAGTATCTCCCGCAATCTATACCTTACTAATTTATTTTCAACTAGCTGTTCCCATGCGACTTCATCCGCATGAAATTATAAAAAAATCATTTTATTATTTACATTTGTCAAATTATCAATTGCAAATGTCAAAATGACATGACATCAAACCATGGCAACCTTGATTCCTTGATGTTGGTAGCGACTTATGGTCTCTTTCCCACATTAGGGCTTTTATCCAAAATATTTACCCCAAGTATAATTAAGTGAAAATATATAGCCTAAGGCGTAACGGAAGTGTAGGGCTTTTTATTAAAGGAAGAGTTATCCAAAAATATGCTGTAATTGCTGACATCTTAGGCAACAAAGAAGTGTGTGTTTTCGCTTTATTATAATAGTATAGATGCTTCTAATATTTTAATTGTACAATTAATTATATGTTAATCATTTATACTTCATTTTATTGAATAGCTCATTATTCAACGTATCCGTCTCCAAAGGACCAATTAAAAAAAATGCTTTTTTATTTCGAATGTACTATGACATTGCATTTTTGTGGGTATTTCCATGTTAGTCATCCTAATCAATAGTCAGCCTTCAGAAAAAAAATAGCAACTTACGATGATGTCATTTTTAAATGCTGAATAATGCTTACTTACATATTTTATCTATGTTAGATAACTTACTAAGCCATGATAGCAAAAGATAAGATTCATGACCCACCTAGTTTTTCTCCCAAAGTATTGGAAATTAACCACGCCATCTATTGTCTGAAAAGAACAGTTTACTTTTATAAGAGCGTGCCCACCTTTGACTAAACTATAGCTCAATTTGTCGCGATTGTCGATTGTTTTGCAGCCCATTCAACTATTTATTTGCACAAATAAAAATCGAAATGTGCACTTCCATATAAAGTTATAAGAATCAAAGCGCGAATAAACAGTTATGCGATGGTTTACTCAAATTTGTGCTCACACTCTAACATTTACCAATAGACCAACCAGGATATTTGACTCTGTAACAAAATATCAAAATAGTTTGACAAAATATAGTACTGTAGCCAGGAATCTCTATAAAACAATACGCTATAAGATGTAATGTATCGTATCTATTTTATTTTCTCCATCTTGACGCTAATGGTCACGATTGATGGCGACGAGAATTGGAACATTTACATAGAATTAACTGTCGGTAATATAACAATCGCTTTTAAGTCAGAACGCATAAAGTCATTTCCTATCCATTTATACAGATCAGTAGCTATGTTTTAATTTTTTGCTCTGTACATTTTTCTATTTAATTATTACCTATATATTTGCTAATTAAACCAACCGATGACATCTTACCGAGCTAGATATCCGTGTAACTACATCTTAATGCGAATTCAATGTCTAACAAAGGCAATGTATACAAGTATCAAGACAGATAGGTTTCACTATAATATGCATAGAGAGCACCAGATGGCAGCACTGCAATGGGTTTAGCTCCACCGGATTAGCAGAGAATGTCAGTTGGGTTTACGTTATTTGCCCACTGCCAAATTGCTTTGCACCTGTACATCTAACAGGGTAATTTAAAGTTTTCGCTCTGGCATTGAAATACAATTTTAGTTGCATTTAGTGGAAACAGATGTTAAATTATCTAAATTATCGCTTACGTCTGCGTGGGACGAAAAAACAAAAGATTATGCTCTACATCTTTGTCAAATTTCATCGAGATCCGATCAGCCGTAAAGGTAGAAACTCTTACAAACATCCATCCATCCATCAAAACTTTCACATTTACAATATTTTTATGATTTTAACAGTGGTAGTGCCCGCTTTAATATCTTCGGACGAATGGGCCGGCTCGCCCGGTGTAATACTACGACCACACGGAAAACAGGCGTGAAGTGGAAGCAATTCCGCGTTTCGTCTGATGAGTGTGGTACCGGAGGCCTAATTTTAGTCCCTTTTCCTTTCCACCCTTTTCTTAAGACGAAAGGATGGAAAGGAAAAGTGGATTTGACGGTAGTGGAGATGCATATAAAGGGGAAATGTCCTCTTTATGTGCGTCTTCTCCTCCGTTGGATAAGGGTAGGCAATTCGTCTGCAATTGCAGATGTTTATGGGCAGCGGTCGCTTTCCATTTCGGTGGATTCGGTGGCCGCTTGCTCGTTTGCCACCTTATGTTGTAAAAAAAAAAGGTACATGTCTGTTATCTTTAAGTATAAACATTTATCTAAGTAAGATAATGGCTTCATATAGTCTACTAATTATTTTAATGACCTGTGAAATATAATAGTTTAACTTCGTTTCAACTCTACTATCTACATTTGATTATTGTAGTCGTTAAAAATAGATCATACAAATTATAAAACCATAATAATATTTGCCATTAAAGATAAAGAAACAATTATTTTCTGAGTGTTCGTAAAATAACATTGTAACAGTCAAATATTGGAACGATATTTAAATATGGTTGTAACAACATTGGTAAGACCACGCTCACCATCCACTTGCCCTTACCCGGCACAGTATGTACTGCTCTTCCATACATCTTTATCAGACGTCATATCTGAAACCATTCCTTTCTTAAGCATATCCTCTTTCACACAATCCATCCATACTTTCTTCGGTCTTCCTCTACCTTTGTAGCCATCCATATTCAATCTTAAAACGTTCTGGTTTATGTCCCCATCGTTTCGTCGCATAACATATCCATACCACACTAACCTTTTGCTTCTTAATTTCTCCACCACTGGCTACTTTCAAACTTCCTCTAATGTACACATTCCTAACTCTTACTCTTACTCTTATTGGTAAGACCACGCTAAAATTTGTAAGTCCTTGTGAAACAAAGTGTATATCGTTTCAGTATTCAACCGTTAATGACTCAATGAAAGTGATTGTGGCAGACACTCTATCATAGAAATAAATATCAAAAAATGTATTCGCTAATTAATTCCTCAGAAAACATCTCAAGGCTACGAAAATAAGGCGATTATTTTCTAATGAGAGCTCAAATAAGCTTCTTATAATATAATCGTTTCTTTTCCTTTCTTCAAGAATTCTTAGAAAGTGTTTCTCCTTAATTTTCCTGAAAATTCCCGAAAAAAGTACATTTCAATATCATTATTAAGAAATTCCTTTTAATACGAAATAAATGATTACTATATTATGTAAATAAATAAAAAGATTGGAAGAAAAATATTAATTAAGGGCTCAATCAGCGCTCAGTGTCTGTTTAAGGAACCGTTAAAATCTAAGTACGACTAGATAACTCCAGGGTGTACCCTGAAAACTGACTGAAACCCTGAAAACATACAATCTAATCATACTTCATACTAATATTATAAATTGGATAGTTAAGATGGATGGATGAATGGATGGATGTATGTTTGAGTTTGTAGCCTAAACGACTGAACTGACTGAAATTTGGTATGGATGTAGAGGATATTCTGGAAGAACACATAGACTACTCACTTTTGTTTTTTTTTAATTCCACGCAGATGGAGTCGCGGGCGAAAGCTAGTAAATAAATAAAAATATCAATACTTTAAAAATATTAGTACCTTAAAATTCACTTTATTTAAATAACCGTCAGTACAAATAATCTCGAAACATTTTCATAAAATGTAATAGGGTTGTCGACAACTTTCCTGACATTTCTTTTCGTAAAAAGCTCCCAGTAACGTCAAAATCTTTTAAAAGCTCTTCCAGTACTGCGGTTAATAAAAAGCACATTCCGACTGGTTTTTTATTACAAAAGTATAAAAGTACTTCTCTATTTTTCGATGTCTTAATGGTAGTTTTTAAGACGATCATTAAGTAAAAGAGGTCGGACATATATTTTTAATGTCAATACTAAAAAAAGGTTTTGTAAGTGTTATGATTTGGAGCACACCTTTGACTAAACTATTCCACAACTGTTGTGCGATTGTCGATTGTTTCGCAGGCAATTCAACTGTTTAGTTGCACAACTAAAAGCCGAGTAGTTTGCGCACCTCCATATAAGCGCATAGGAATCAAAGCGAGACTGAATAGTTGTGCGATAGTTTAGTGTGCTCGCTCTTCAGTGACTTTGTGACCACAAAATTTGTTTATATGATTAAAGTAAAAGAACTTTAAACTTAATTTAGAGTGGGATAGCATAAGAATTCTGCTTCTCAAAGATTTAAAACCGTATAATTTTTATCGGAACACGTAGTGTCAAGTGTTACAAATAATCTAAGTAAAAAACTATTATAATATAACAAATGTACTTGAACAATTGGTATTCATTAAAAAAGGCTTCGCTGCAATGATTCCGTTGTTTTAATTGGTACGATACCGCTCGCATCATGTGTTTGTTAAAGTTGGAATTATTAAGAGAGACTTATAAAACTAGACTATAAAATGTACAAAATGATACATTATTAAAATTTTAAACTTTGACAATAATGAATTGTCAAATAACCGTAGGTTTCCACTAACGAAAGATATGTGCAAAAACATTTTATTCTCTGCTTCAAAATCGTACCAAGAAAAAATGTAAATATATCAAAAACTACTGGGCCGATTACAAAAGAACTTAATTTCTCAAAAATTATTTAAAAAAAAAAAAAACCGACTTCCAAACAAAATACACTAAAAACAAAACAAAATGCACTAAAAACAAAACAAAATATTCTCAAAAAAAACAGTACACTA